TGGGCTTGTAGCCTTAATGACTTAGGTGGCTTTAGAAAGTTCATCAAGCATCTCTCAGCCTCAGTTTCCTTATCTGTCAAACAAGGCAACTGGACTAGATGAGCACCATGAAACTTTCAGCTCTAGAATCTGTGGATTCCACAACAGGCCATCCATCTCCCTTATTGCTTTGTTACCAAGGTTACTAGCAGCTCCAGCTTTTCAGACCAGGTTTTACACAAAGCATCAAATACACTCATGAATTGATGCATATTCCAAGATCACAACCTTATGGAAACAGGATCATCAACCCCACTGCCCAGCTTCCACTTAATTATGACCCTTTTTGTTTGATCTGATTGCCATTAGTTATACAGACCTACGGCTGAATCGAGTAATAAAATAATTCTTGGGCAAACAAGATAATTGGCCGAACAGTTCTTTTTTCTTTTTTTTTTTTGTATAATACATTGAAATCTCATTTCAGAAAAGCATGCTACTCTGAAATAATTTATTTTCTTTTCATCATGTACTGTTGATTTTGCTGGCCCTGGACAAACAAAGAGGAGGTTAAAAGAAAGAGAGAGGCACAATTACCCTGGGAGCTCGGGGGTGCAAAGGAGGAGGGCTCAATTAAACACTGTACATGAATGAACAAACAGATTTATGAGAAAATGAGAGAGATTCCTGTTCTCTTCACCTCCAGCATCCCAACTCCTCTGGCTGGTGTCCAGGCCACTGCCGTGAACAGTGGAGATGATGTATGGACCTGAAGGGCATGGAAGAGAATCCTCTAGAACCTGAAGCTCATCCTCAAAAAGCTGGATCAACTCCATCAAGCACAGCGATGCCCCCAAAAGTACCAGCATTCTACCCTCTCCCATTTTTCATGGGCGATAATGAAGTACAGTACAAAGAGCCCGGACTTCGGGGCCTGGAAAGCCTGGGCCCATATGCTGTCTCTGCCACTGACTGTATCTGTGACCTTGGACACTGTAAAAACTACAGCATTGCCATGAAGGTTAACAAGATAACCGATATAAAAATACCTGCAGTTTCTGGGCACACCGGGGGCAACTAATGAAAAACAATTGTTTTTCTACTTTTAATTCCTAAAAGTTTTGGGTGATGGCCTCGAGTTTTGCCCAAAGTAAGCCTGGAGGCCTGCTTCAACAGGATTTGTTTCTAAGAGCAAGAGGACAGCCCACATTAAATCCACTCTTGTGGATTTTAAATAGACAGTTTGGGCGCTAACTTCCAAATCTAGAACTTTGGTTCCTATCTCTCTCCAGGCCATCAGACTCACAGCTGAACTGTTGGGCTCTGGGGTCCCTCAAATATTACCTGTGCCAACATCGCTGGTCAGAAGAGTCATGTGGGAAATGAAAGCATGGGAAAGGCTGCAGGATAAGGAAGAAAAAGTCATGAGTGGCCTCCACAAACTAGCCATCAGATCAAGTTATTTTTCAAGAATGGAGATTTTAACCAATGTCACCCCAATACATTTAATTAATTAGAAAATAAATCAAATAAATAACAAATAAAAGAGCAGAGCTGTTTCCCCTTCTCTCTGAGGTGCTTACACTCTCCCAAGCCACCTGTTAGGATAACGAAGACAAAATACCCCGGAGTCTGTGCCTGACTGCACCTCTGTCCTGACTGTGGGACCAAGAGTAGATTCACGTCCTAGAACCGTCACTTTGGGGCACTCACACTGTACGTGGGCTTCTTCTCTCCGAAAAGCAAATTCTTTTTTTTTTAAAAATATATTTTCTTGATTTTCCACAGAGAGGAAGGGAGAGAGATAGAGAGTTAGAAACATCGATGAGAGAGAAACATCGATCAGCTGCCTCCTGCACATCTCCCACTGGGGATGTGCCCGCAACCCAGGTACATGCCCTTGACCGGAATCGAACCCGGGACCCCTCAGTCCGCAGGCCGACGCTCTATCCGCTGAGCCAAACCGGTTTCGGCAAAGCAAATTCTTTTGATTCTGTTAATTTTAATTCCACTGAAAGAGGACCTCCTTGGCACACTTAATCTCGCCGTGCCAGGCCCTCACGGGAGGGAGTTTCTGCCTCTGTCTGGGAAATCAGGAAAGGCCTCGAAAAGGCTGTGACATTGGAGACAGCCTTAAAGGATGATAGGGGCTGCGTGTAGTGCGTGTGTGTGTGTGCGCGCGTGTGTGTGGCAACTGCAGGATATTCTAAATCTAGGGTCTTCATGAAACTATTGTTTACTTTTCTCCTTTTCTAAATCATAAGCGTCACATTCATTCTTGAGAAACTCCACACCTGAAAGAACTAGAATGCATCTGTCTCTAAGTCTCTCTCTCTCTTTCTCTCTCTCTCTCTCTTCCCTACCCCCTCTTTCTCTCATTTTGATATGGACACTTAAGAAAATCTAGAATGATCTTTCATTCATTCATTCACTCAGTATTCAGTGTCTCCTCTATGCAGAGCATTTTACAGGTAATAAAGTATATTTTACAGATCATGCTATACAGTAGTTATTGTTACAAAATACACTTAACTCATAAAAGCAAGGCTCAAGGGGGTTAAATAACTTATTCAAGATCAAATAGCAAGTATAGGAGAAAGGAACGTTTTTAATCCAGGCTGACTCTCCAAAACCTATGTACTTTCCACTATACCACACTGGAATGACACAAAATAGTATGTTAGATCTGACATAATTGACTTACATATCAATAATTTGCCATTAGGCACTACAACCAACATCTGACACACTCTAGCTAAATATTTTTCTAAACTGAGAATTCAGATTATGTACCCAAAATGAATACCCATAAAATAATTCTATGAGTTTGAAAAAGTGCTCTAAGCAGATTTTTAAAAACAAGTTTATCTTTAATGTGTAATACCTATAGAAAATTCTGTCCCTCTGTCATTTGTCCTTCTCTTCTGCCCTGAGAAGCATATCTATTTATTCATTTATTAGCGGTCCAGTGCATGAAATCTGTGCACAGGTAGGGTCCTTAGGCCTGGCTGGTGATCAGGGCCGATCAGGGCTTTCTGGCTGCTGGCCGGCCAGGGCCTCCCTTCATTCCACACCGCCCCCTGGTGGTCAGCACACATCATAGAGAGCGATAGAACTCTCAGTCTCCCGTCTCCCGGATGAACTCCCGCAGGGACACTTTGCATATTAGCCTTTTACATATAGATAATTATGCTGCCTTTCTACATCATGCACTGTTCATTCCCCGCTAAGCTCTTTATGTTTGCTTTTGGTTAGCTCAGCATAATTTATTGTAGGACTAAGAAATCAATTCAATTCTTCTGAGTAACTTTATTTTTGCACCCAATCTTTAGGATTGTAAAAGTAACAGATGCTTATTGTATAAAAGACAAATCATGATGTCTTAGGGAGTAACAAACCCTGACAATTTCACCCCCAGACATAACAACTATTAACAATGTAGTACATAGACTTTCAAATTTCCTCTATTCATATAACAAACACATATCATATTTATACATATTTTTACATAAATGGGATCTGCCATACATTCTGTTTCGTGATTTTGTTTCCTTTTGACAAACATCTTAGTTATCTTTCTAACATCTTAGTTGTCAGTATCTATAGCTTGATCTCAGCCTTTGGGTAGCTTTTGACAGAAGAGAAAACATCCCTTTCACAGAAATAGAATGAATTGCAAATGTTTTGCTATGCTCACCTTAATCAAAACAAAGTCTAGGTGAGAAAGTTGGGATAATGCTATATATTGAAAAAAAGTCAAAGTAGGTTAATAGTTGCTGCTAATAAACAGTATGTTGTAACTAACTCAGCCTTTTTTAAAAAAAAAAAAAAAAGCAGAGTTGGGGGTGGGGGATGGGCTGTTACATCCACTTTTTGAATGAGCAGCCAATGGACAAGAGGGGAAATGAGGAACGTTTGGGAAAATACCCTTTCATGGGAGTTGCCTTCAGGTAGTGGATTGTAAACTCTGAGGCATTTTCAACAGCTTGACATTAGCTAGAAACACATTTCGCAACACCTCAGTGCTGATCTGTTAAAGCCTCTCATTTAGTGCGAAACACAAGACAGATGATTCAGTGTGGTGTGCAATTCATTAACCCATCAAGGGCTTTCTTCCTGAGCCCAGGATAACAGGCAGAAACAGAAATGTAATCCTTAATGAATAACAAAGGGCGCTGCTGGAGGGATGGGAACACACACATTCAAGGCATGTGATGGGCTCTCCTTTTCCTTCTGGAGCAACCCGTTTTCTCCTGAACAAACAGATTTTCACCATAGATTGATCCTGCCTGGGAGCGAGATGAGTTTTTTCCCCCAACTGTCTTAGAAATGGGAAGTGACACACGTGATAGATGACACTTACAGAAGGCCATATGTCTAGTATCCCAGGTCTTGCATTGTGGAGTGAACCAAAAAAAGTGGTCAGGGCCTTGTCAGCATTTTCTAGGACACCAAAGAGAATATATGTGCTCAGGTCAAGACGTAAAAGTTAATTTTAGTCCAGGGATTACCTGAAATTTGCCCTTCTGGAACCCAAGTAACAGTCTTCAGAACACTGAATATGCTATGTTCTTCTTCATGGCTTTTGGGCTTATCAGGGAACGCTGAGGCTAGATTTACAGGAAGCAAATGTTTTGTGATAATATTTTTATTTTTTAATCCTTACCCGAGGATATGTTTTTACTGATATTTTTAGAGAGAGAGGAAGGGGGGAGAGAGAGAGAAACATTGATGTGAGAGAGATACATCGAACAGTTGCCTCTCACACGCTCCCAGACCGGAAATTTAATCCGCAACCTACATATGTGCCCTGACTAGGAATCAAACCTGCAACCACCTATAGTGTATGGGACGACGCTCCAACCAACTGAACTACCTGGCCAGGGCTTGTGATAATATTTTATTGATCTTTTTCAAAACACTTTTTTCTTTTCTCCATAGTATTTCTTTACTCCATGAGATATTTTGATATCCAACTAAGGTTCCTGGCTTGGGAGTCTTCCTTTTTCAAATGAAGAGCTTAAAAGTGCAAAATATTTAGAAGCTAATCCTTCTGTCTTTTCCCTAAATCTTTTGGTTTGCTGTTATTAAGACGAGATCCAACAGGTAGGCTACTGGAAAATCCGTGTCCTTTCTCAGTGTAATACTGTGGGAGTTAGAAAGTAGGTTTGGGAAGGATAAAAGGAGGATAATTGAAATATTTTAAGCTATTTAAAGGAGATTGCCCAGGAGAATCCTAGTTTGTGCCTGTAGACCAGTATAATAATTAATAGCATCCACTTCCTCTTTCAAAAGTGTTCTGGCTTGGGCACAAAATTATATGACCACTCTATTAATTATGTAAGACAGTGTTCTGCCATCACAATGGAAGTAGGGTCATGGGACAACTGTACATTGAACTGTACATTAAACAATGACAATTTCTGTCAACATTTTAAGGGCACATATTTTTCATGCTAGAAATTTTTCTTCTATGAATTTATTCTCATACAGAAATAGAAATTCTATTGCTATGAGCAGATTATCTGTCAAGATTTTAAGTGCACATATTTTTCATGCTAGAAATTTTTCTCCTATGAATTTATTCTCATAGAGAAATAGAAATTCTATTGCTATGAGCAGATTATATGTGCGCACACACACATATACACACACAAGAATGCTTAGTGAACACCAGAAAAAAATTTAAATGTTTATCAAGAGTCTAGTTAGATACAATGGAATCCTAGGTAACTATTATCAAAGCAGGTGGTATGTCTCTGTGTGTTGAAGATATGGTGAAATGTCCAAGACACGCTTTCAAATTTAAAAAGCAAGCTGTGGCGGGATATATACGGCCCTGCTTGTTATGGCTGGGCCTGAGAAGCCTTTACATTCTCCCATAATCTCCAGCTCCCATCCCCCCAACCCACAACAAATCGAAATCAACCTAAATACTAACTGGTTACTATGCAAATGAAATTTCCTGTCTAACCAGATTGCCCCTCCCAAGGCTTTCCAATATAGAAATTTTTGGAGGTGCCAAAACCTACAATATAGTCCTGTTGTAATATGTATATTGGGCCAAGATTCTCAAAGCTCTCGACTGACTACTTCTGGGGAGTGACTGTTATTCCCTTCTGTACTTTTATTTTAACCCATACTCATATATTGCTTATAACTTTAAAAAATCTGTTTAAAAGAAATACATGTCAAGTCAGTTTGCCATGTAAAATCAGAAGTGCCTGTGGGGCATCTAGGACTCTTTTTTTTGTAGAGAAAGATTAGAAAGCCAGATCTTTGGTGTCTTTCCTGTAAATATACTTGGGAGCACAGGCTATAGTTATCTCCCAATTATCAGGATAATTGAGGAAATAAAAGTTGAAATGTAGCTTTATGTTTCCAACCTTTTCACAATCATTTTAATTGGATCAGTTAAACAAATACATTAGTTGCTTCCTCTGAATCTTTTGTGGAAATAGATTATAAAATATAAACCAACTGTTTTCAAAAAAATGGAGTTTCACTCCCCCCACCCCCCACCCCCCACTTTCATTTCTCTGCTCTATCTTCCAGGACAAGTGTGACTCCAAAGGCTCACAGAAGACGCATGAAGGTTTGAAGAAACTTCACTGTGAAACTAACAGATCAAATTGTACCATTTCAATTTTTCAAGGGTTACAGAATGTTCCCACTCAGTTTTAATTTTGGAGTGAAACAAGAAACTAAAGAAAAATGAGCTAATATAAAAATCTAGAGTTGGAACTATCTTTCATAGATAAACATGCTCTAATTTTCATTGCTCCCTCCTCACTTGCACTTCCCCATCTACTTGGTTAACAATCGTCCTGTCCTCAGAGTGAAGGTTTCCCTCCAGGGTCACCTGCTCTTCCCTGCCTCCCAGCTGCACTCCCACCCACTAATCCCAAATCCACCTCCTCCTCCTCCTTCCTGGCAGGAAGACTCTAAAATTAAGCACGTTCTCTCTGTTCTCCTGTACTGTCTTATAGGGCCACATTTATTTTATTTCTGTTTGTTTCATCATTTGCTCCAACCCCCTCTGGGGCTGATTAATAATCATATTTGAAGCATCAGTGCCTGACACAATACTTCGCACGTAGTAGGTACTTTAAAATGCTTTTTAATGAATAAAACCTTGACATAAATACAGAAAAGAAAAAAAAGTCCCATCTCGACTCCACAGAAAGAAGCTACAGAAAACACTGCAAAACATGTCAAGGTCCCCCAGGGAGGGATTCTCTTGGGCAGGTACAGCCTTGCTTTCAGCTGGCTCTTTGGCTGGTGTTCGGAAGCTTGTCTGCGTTTCTTCCCTATTGGTTTGAAATGCTTTAATAACTACGCCTTTTGCAGTTTTCCTAACCTTTATTTTTCCTGGGGAATCAGAGTTCCATCCTTGGAACTAACCAGGTGAGACGACATGCATTCTGCATATACCTGTTATTATTGGTTGTCTTAGCTGTACACAATGTTCTGATGAACTGACTCAGGAGACAAGTGACTCATGCCATTTTCCCTGCAACCAGCAGTGACCTAGAGCACTTTAGGCTGGGGCGAAATTCGTGCCTTGCACTCTCTAGCTCTGTAGCTCTGACTGTAGATGCAGTCTGGGCACCATCTCGGCATCCATCAACATGACTGAATTAGTGGCTGCTCTATCTGATAGTAATGGCGATGGCGCCTGGCTACAGGAAACCTTCCCGGCTTGGCTAAAAGAGATTGTGACCTGCTTCCACATGGTATAACAGCAGCATGAAAATCTGCACTTAACTGAAGCTTTAGATTAGAGACAATTAGAGACACAGCAGCATTAACTGGGCAACCTCTTTTAAAACCCAGGGAGTATGAAGCTATTAGCTATTCAAATGACGTGAATTAGTTTAACATTTATTGACTGTTTCTAACATCTAACAGAGCTACCTGGGAAGGAGGCACTGGGATGGGAAAGTACAGGAAATGCCAGACAGAGAAGTGATTGGGGAGCACAGACATTGGTTACCAAAGGCCACAGATGGGGCACTGTTGAGAAGATTGGGGGTGGAATGGCTGTCCCGACCAATCAGAGAACAGAGTGGGTGTTGCAGAGGGTTTAGAAAAGAATTCTGAGAGGGAAAATCAAAAGGCTCCTAAACATTGTGTGTAAAGTAGACCCTTGTTGTATTTGTGATCTCCTACTCTAGTAAGCTAAAGAATAGGAGGTGATCAAAGGTGGAACCAGGAGGAAACATTAGCACTGATAAGAATGGGCAAACTGGATGAAATTGTGAGGGCCTGATGATTTTTAACAGAACAGTTGCTTTGTTTACTTTCAGAGGTAACATGCATGCAAGAAACTTGGAAAATATAAAAAAGCCCAAAGGACCCAGTAAATAAACTAAACCAGAATTAATCCCACCCCTCAGAGACAACCTTACCATTTTTGCATGTATGCTTCTGATCTCTTGTCTATGAACATATTCACTCCTGTGCATATCTTTTCTAGAATGTAAACTATACCTTACTGCACATACTGTTCTACAGGCTGTGGAAAAAATTTCTCTATCTTCCTATTGTTCTGTACACTCTGTCTTTCCCACCCTGTCTCACTGCCCTGTTGCAGGGAGGTTGAATGCTGTAGATCAGTGGTTCTCAACCTTCCTAATGCCGCGACCCTTTAATACAGTTCCTCATGTTGTGGTGACCCCAATTTCATTGTTACAAATTGAACATAATTAAAGCATAGTGATTAAACACAAAAACAATATGTAATTATATATGTGTTTTCCGATGGTCTTAGGCGACCCCTGTGAAAGGGTCGTTGGACCCCCAAAGGGGTCGCGACCCACAGGTTGAGAACCGCTGCTGAAGATGGACCCTGCTCACCCAGGGGCCTCTTTGTTCGCTGACACGGTACATCGGCTCTGCTTAAGATGACAAGGCTCTGCTGACTTGTAATCTTTGCATATATTTTCTTTCTAAGAATAAGAGGCTTTTAGTGAGCATGTAAGATAAAACAAAACAGATTGATTAATGTAATCTATAGCCTAGCATTCAGGGCCTCCCATTTGTGGAACTAAACCGTGTAATCACAGCCTGGGGTAAACCGACTCTGCACACAGAGAAAAAAGCTGGGATATGCCGAAGGAGACGTACACGCACAGTGCAGGGGGTACCTCCCCTGCACCTTCTCCTCCCGTCTCTTAGGCATCAGACTCCCGATGCTGGCCAGTGGGGCAGAGTGCTGAGCCCTGTCTCCTTCCTGCTACTGCCACCTTAACTGAACACTTGTTCTGCTCGTGGATGACTGCAAAAGCCCGTACGTTTTCTTTCTGCCCCTAATCTTGCCCTCTGCGACGCCATCCTGACCCTGTGAAGATAAATGAGCTTTCTAACATGAGGTGAAGCTTCATGGCCCTTTGGGGCCCAGCCTCCCAAGTCACATAGCTTCGTTTCCACCGTATTCCATTGGTCACAAGTCACAAGCCTGCCTCCGTTCAAGCGAAGGCACAGAAATTCCACCTCCAGATGGGAACAATGTCAACAATTTTGGAGCTATGTTTTAAATCATCGACCTAACTATCTTCTAGATTTGTATACCCACAAATTAAAAAAGACACACCAAACTGTTAAAGCTTAGAGGAGGGGAGGAGACTTTCACTCTTCATTCTCCACACTTCCAAAGGAGGAACAACTAGTGGGATTACGGGTGATTTTTATTTTTTTTACAGAAAATCGCTTCCCCTATTATCGCAAGCCCCACAAAGGCTAAACACATGATGGCAGGTCCTAAGTGAACACATTCTAAAAGCAAGTGCCAGACCTCCTAGCTATGCAGGGCACGCAAAGACAGTGTCAGCATGTTATCCACCTGCGGGTCAGGGAAGAGAAGCTAGAAGAAGCCTGTGGGGGCTGTCAGAGGCCAGATCGGGACTTTGTAGAGCGTGGTCCTGGTGCTGTGTGCCACAACTCACCTCACCCCCCGCTCTGCCATTGGATACAGCCCCTCATCTTAAACTAAGTGAGAGGGGTTCACAAAAGCCATTTGGAGATCTTGACCTGTGTCTCCTGGAGTTTGAGGGACACGGAGACTGGAGACTGACTTTCACCAGAGAAACCTACAGGTGAAAGGCCAGCTGGGGAGGCCTGCCTTGCCACAGAATGAAGAAAGAGGACTCAGTGGGAGGGAGCTGCACTTTCACTGGTGGGTGGGCCACGGAATGGAGGAAGTCCATGGGCCACTGAATGGCATGAAGGGTGCCACCCCGGAGAACCACATGGGAAGTGAAGAGACCTGGTGGAAGTGCACTGCAGCCAGGGGTCCCTGGTAGACGGATCTGCACAAGGTGCAGGTGCCACACCAGATGACAACTGTATCAGTCCCACAAGTCTGGGCCATTTGTCCCTAATCCTTCCTCAAGGGCCTAAGGAAAGAGCAGCTAGTGGTTACAAAAAGGAAAGATTAACCAAAGAACTTAAATGCACATATGCATAGCCCATGGACACAAACAATGGTGCGGTGAAGGCCTGGGGGTGGGGTGGAGATGGGGTGAAGGGGTCAGAGGGAAAAAAGGGGATATCTGTAATATTTTCAACAATAAAAATGTTGTGTGTTTTTTTTTAAAAAAAAAAAAAAAAGGAAAGGGAAAGAAAAGATTGACCATGCACTCCTCCACTTCAAGCTCCCCAGATTGAAGCAAGCCTAGCTGGAGGAATGAGAGGAATTTTAAAATAAATTAAAGATTGAAGATGTAATACTGAATTTGACGTGGCTTCTAAAGTATTCAAGTGAAAGTATTCTCATGATGGAATAGGATCAGAAAAATCATGCATGGGTTTTCTAGAGCAGCAGGAGAAAGAGTAAAAAGTTGCTTCTTTCTAGAACTATATCTCTATATTGAATGTCCAGTACATTCAATAAATCTACTATGTGTTTTTTGTGCTTTTCTGATTTTCCAATTTTTATTTGGAACACATACTTCTTGCTATTATTTAAATGCACATCTAGTCATATCACTTCTATGCTTAAAAACCCTCAATGCCTTTGCATTGCCCTCACGATAAAGGTTACTTTTAAAATATGGCTTCCCAGGCTTTTCAGGATCTAGCCCAGCCGTGGGCAAACTACGGCCCGCGGGCCAGATCCGGCCCATTTGAAATGAATAAAACTAAAAAAAAAAAAAAAAAAGACTGTACCCTTTTATGTAATGATGTTTACTTTGAATTTATATTAGTTCACATAAACACTCCATCCATGCTTTTGTTCCGGCCCTCCGGTCCATTTTAAGAACCCATTGTGGCCCTCGAGTCAAAAAGTTTGCCCACCCCTGATCTAGCCCCTGCATACCCCTCCAGCCTCCTCTCCTAGCCTCCTCTCAGCCACACACAGCCTATAGTCCCACCACATGGACATAAAGGTTCCAAATGCATCATGGTCTCCTGTGTCTTTCCTCAGATCACATTGTTCATTTGGCCTGGATCATCCCTCACCATCACCCTTGTCTGAAGGGTTGGCTCCAATCCACCCTTCAGCTCAGCTACCACCTCTGCAGGTTCCAAAAAATTTCAGTTGGAGAGTTCATTTAGGTCAGAAAGTGGGCTTTCCAGTTGGTATTTCTAGTCCCTGAGACCAAGTAGCACAGCAGGCACTTGGTATCCAATCCTATAAATAAACCGTCATAAACAAATGATGGCTGGTGACCAGTCCAAGTTTCATAAGTGAGGGAAGTCAGGAGAGGCCAAGAAACATAGTCATTGATCATCTTTCTGAGATGAT